GGGGCGGGGTGTCTGGGCAGTGGGAGAACTGGGCACCGGGAGCATCGGCACTGGGAGGTACTGGGAGCTACTGGGCAACGGGAGCACCGGAAGCATCGGTACCGGGCACTGGGAGCACTGGGAGGACTGGGGAGCGGGTACTGGGAGGGCTGGGGACCGGGGGGTGTGGGCACTGGGAGAACTGGGCACCGGGAGCATCGGTACCGGGCACTGGGAGCACTGAGAGGACTGGGGACCGGGGGGTCTGGGCACTGGGAGAACTGGGCACCGGGAGCATCGGCACTGGGAGCTACTGGGAGCTACTGGGCAACGGGAGCACCGGAAGCATCGGTACCGGGCACTGGGAGCACTGGGAGGACTGGGGACCGGGGACTGGGAACCGGGGGGTGTGGGCACTGGGAGAACTGGGCAACGGGAGCATCGGCACTGGGAGCTACTGGGATCTACTGGGCAACGGGAGCACCGGAAGCATCGGTGCCGGGCACTGGGAGGACTGGGAGAACCGGGAGCTCTGGGCACTGGGAGCACTGGGCACTGGGTACTGGGAGAACTGGACACCGGGAGCATCGGTACCGGGGACTGGGAGGACTGGGGACCGGGGACTCTGGGCACTGGGAGAACTGGGCACCGGGAGCATCGGCACTGGGAGCTACTGGGAGCTACTGGGCAACGGGAGCACCGGAAGCATCGGTACCGGATACTGGGAGGACTGGGCAATGGGCACTGGGAGAACTGGGAGCACTGGGAGGACTGGGAGCTCTGGGCACCGGGCACTGGGAGAACTGGGCACCGGCAGCACCGGCACCGAGAGCATCAGGCACCGGCAGGACCAGTACCAGGCACTGGGAGCACTGGGCAACGGGCACTGGGAGTGCTGGGAGTACTGGGGACAGGGTACTGGGATGACTGGGGACCGAGGGGTCTGGGCACTGGGAGCACTGGGCACCGGGTACTGGGAGAACTGGACAAATTGGGAGAACTGGGCAACCACTGTCCCGGTACATCCCGTATCCATGGCAACCACTGCCCCTGTATCCATGGCAACCATTGTCCCAGTACATCCCGTATCCATGGCAACCACTGTCCTGGTCCACGGGCCCGGACCCACAGCCTCGGGGGTCCCTCATCCCTCCTGTCGGCACTGGGAGGACTGGGGACCGGGGACTGGGAACCGGGGGGTGTGGGCACTGGGAGAACTGGGCAACGGGAGCATCGGCACTGGGAGCTACTGGGATCTACTGGGCAACGGGAGCACCGGAAGCATCGGTGCCGGGCACTGGGAGGACTGGGAGAACCGGGAGCTCTGGGCACTGGGAGCACTGGGCACTGGGTACTGGGAGAACTGGACACCGGGAGCATCGGTACCGGGGACTGGGAGGACTGGGGACCGGGGACTCTGGGCACTGGGAGAACTGGGCACCGGGAGCATCGGCACTGGGAGCTACTGGGAGCTACTGGGCAACGGGAGCACCGGAAGCATCGGTACCGGATACTGGGAGGACTGGGCAATGGGCACTGGGAGAACTGGGAGCACTGGGAGGACTGGGAGCTCTGGGCACCGGGCACTGGGAGAACTGGGCACCGGCAGCACCGGCACCGAGAGCATCAGGCACCGGCAGGACCAGTACCAGGCACTGGGAGCACTGGGCAACGGGCACTGGGAGTGCTGGGAGTACTGGGGACAGGGTACTGGGATGACTGGGGACCGAGGGGTCTGGGCACTGGGAGCACTGGGCACCGGGTACTGGGAGAACTGGACAAATTGGGAGAACTGGGCAACCACTGTCCCGGTACATCCCGTATCCATGGCAACCACTG